GCTGCTCGCATAAAACTGCTTTAGTGTTCTCAATTATCGTAATGCTCATTTTATTGTCAATAAACGTAACAGTGTTGTAACAGGGAAACATGATTCATTTGATTACTCATTACTGAAAAAAGTATCACTGTTAGTAACTCTGTTTTTTCATAGCTTCGTTACTCCCATCACTGGACGTAATAAATAGAGAAAAAAAAGTCTGTAAAATAAAAGAACATGTACTGGCAGTTTATTATATTTTTTGTGTTATATACAACACCAACCCAGACATTAAATCACTTTAAACTATATTATAAATATCAATAAAAATAACTTTTTTACTTTTCAAGGTTTAAAGTTGTTGGAAAAAAGATCAAGGTCCCATAATGCAAGGAGAAGTAAAAGATAAAAACATGAATCACAGAATTATAAATATTTTTTACAGTGTATTTCAGAATATCACTTATTTGAGAATAATTTGAGATGACTCGTTAGTTATTTTTTTATTGTTAAACAGCCGATAAACATGCTGTCATGATCACCAGCGATATAACCCTTTCCTATTTATTCAAATGTATTTAATATATGTTTTGCTCAACATATTACAGTTTTTCTCAGTCGTTTTGGTGCATTTTTCACAACACGTTTTACATTTGCACAACAGTTAATGCACTTCTCAAAACAATTAGGACAAACTGCAAAACCTATTTTATAACCTGCAATAGCGTGTCACTTGCTCAAAATGGATGGCTTGCTCAATGAAAGTGTCAGTGTCATCAAGATGAAAAGTCCTGACACCATTGTTTATGAACACCATAGTCAAATGGCTTTGTCATGTTTTCATTATGACAGTTTACTCCGTACATTTTTTCCGATGCAAAAAAGTTTTGGTGACACTTCCTGAAAATGCTCAAGACAGAACTATATACTATTTGCACATCCATTTGAAAACTACAGCAAAGTTAGACATCACTGCATTTAGTGAGGTGTCTGAGTACAAGACACTGAATATGTATGTTTCACATTTTGACTGCATTTGCAATTCTAATTTATTCACAGCATTGTGCAAAATAATAAACACACCCTTATTTACAACAAACATAAACTCCCTTTGGATAGAGCTGTGCACAACTGTAAACAATATTGCAGAACATATTGGAACTGAACCTACAACATACACAGGTCTGTGAATCATTCATGAAATTGTTCAGTTTAGAAGAGGGAAAAAGTTTATTTTCAGGGGGAAAAAGATTAAAAAGATTTTATAAAGTTTGCTTGACGGATGTTGACAACTCGTTCAACATATGTGTATGTAATGACTCAAGTTATGAAATGAGGACTATTAGTTTCATATAGAATGACTATTCAGCATTCACAAGTTTAGTTAATTTTGACTGACATGACATACGTAAATAATAATGTTATAAAACAGCAGAGAGTTGTATGAAAGCAATTAATGCATGTCCAATAGCATCTGCAATTTGTTGAAAGGAATGAGAAACTGCTACTATAATGTGCAAAAATGACTAATTGTTTTGATTAATGTATTATCTGTTGTGCAAATGTAAATAGTGTTGTGAGAAATGCACCAAAGCGACTGATAAAAGCTGTAATTTGGTTGTACTAATTCTTACGTTTTTTGTTTTCTAGTTTCGACGTTGATACTGACTAATCTAATGTATATGCACATATATTATTGTAAAGCATCCTGTAGAAAAATATTAATTTAAAAGATAGATCTGTGTACACATTTATGCTGAGCACTGTATTTACAGTACTGAGCAACGTTTCTTTTATTAGCTCAGCTTTCGCAATTGTCTCCAATGTTGCAAAATAAATACAGAGCTTATGCACAAATCTATTTATAAATGCTATTAATGCTACTCGTCAGCACTCGTCATGCATTTGCCAATCTGAGCTATGAGTGAATGTCCTCAGATGCCCTTCCTTCATCCTTGGCAAAGTTACTGGTTTTTCACATTCACAATTCATAGGCTCGGCCCTCAGAGCAGGACTCCTCGTCCCTGCACTTTCTGTCTCAAAGTCGCCTGTCTCCCTCCATTCAACCAAATGCAGAAAGGCTCGCTCAGGTTCTCTGGATAGTTGCCAGTCGCCCTACAGAAAGACCAGCCAACTCATCAGAAAGCTTACAACGAGTCTAGATGACAGAGAAGCTGGCCGCTTAGAGAGATTTGATTGTCCACGTAAACACTGCAATCGTGTAGACACACAAACACGCACACATACACACACGGGTCAATTTAAAATCCAGCTGCCACTGACCTTGTGTTTGACAGAGGACCCTGCATCATTGTTTGGTGATATCAGACTGAAGGAGACACATTCGGCCGGCCGTGTTCTTAGATTAGACCCTACAGCTCTGGATTTCTTACAGGATTTCATTCAGGCATAGATTCATATGACAAACATTTGATTGTTGCTCAGTGTGGAACATGCATAACATGCGTTGGAAATTGTTTCAGGTAAAATTCAACAATCATCAATTATAATGAATGAACGA